CGATCATTTAACGTTCTCACTTTGAATATACGATCGAGTTCCTGCCATCGCAATTGTGCAACTTCAGGTGCGACACGTGTGGTACAATGGTCAACTGTGCGAGGTGATGTCGTCAGACACGTGGAGGAAATATGTCAACGATCCGGGTTTCAAAAATCTGGCCAGAGTAGCGAGTCTCTGTAATCGCGCCGAATGGGCACCGATGCTCAAGGATGAACCTTTACCACCGTTAAATAAAAGAAAGATCCTAGGAGACGCCTCGGATGCGGCTTTACTAAGGTGCATGGGGATCCTTGTAAGAGGAGGAGCTGATTCCTTCAGAAAAAATTATGTTAAAGTAAATAAGTCTAATTAAATCTTTCGATTGAAGATTGAGTAAAAGAATTATATTTAAATTTAATATGCCAGTCGTAAATTTAATCCATTGAAAAATTATCTTCCTTTAAGGCTACTTCAATATATTATGTCAACTTCTAATTTCTAATCTTGATAGATTTTCTAGTAAATTATATACTTAAATTTGTTTTAAAATAAATCTTACTTTATCCAAATTTAAAAAATAATAGAACTAATATATAAATATTAAAATAAAAATTTATTATTGTCATAAATAAAATTATTATCTTGGATCTTTAGATATTGGAAATTCCTTTTAATTCGACTGACAAATTTCAAGCGAACATACATTTATTTCGCGGCAAATATCTCGTATCCTTCAAAGGCGCTCCAGAACGTGTTCTCGAACGTTGTTCGACTGTAGCATTCGGTAACGAGACTAAGAATTTGAATGAAGAGACAAGATCAGCGTACACGGAATCTTGTTATATTCTGGCGAACAACGGTGAACGCGTTCTCGGCTTTGCCGATCTCGAACTTTCGACCAAGGCTTTCCCCGTGGGTTATCACTTCGAGGCCGATCCTCCAAATTTCCCTCTTGAAAACTTAAGATTGGTATTTCTTTAATATTTAATTTTTCTCTACAAGTATTCTTTAAATTATTACTACTCAAGATTTTTTAATTTCAATTCTTGAATTTTTTATCAACAGTTATTTTCTAAACAAAATGTATTTTTTTATTGATAGATCGGTCTAATAGCCATGATGGATCCGCCACGGCCAGCTGTTCCTGATGCCGTGTACAAATGTCGTTGCGCCGGCATCAAAGTTATCATGGTGACCGGTGATCATCCTGATACCGCCAAAGCGATTGCCAAGTATGTTGGCATCATTACCAACTACGATGACTATAATAATGTCAACAACAACGCCAGGAAGCAGGACATTGTAGTGACTGGTACGCAGCTACGAGATTTGTTGCCGGAACAACTGGACCAACTGATTAGGCAACATCAGGAGATTGTATTCGCCAGGACATCACCAGTGCAAAAACTGCAGATCGTTGAAAGCTGCCAACGGTTGCATCTGATTACCGCGGTTACTGGCGACGGTGTCAATGACTCACCGGCCCTCAAGAAAGCCGACATCGGTATCGCAATGGGTATCACAGGTGGTAATCTATATTTTTTATGAAAATATTTTCATAGAAAATAATACGAATATATAATTAAATTGGCAAAATTTCTAAAACATAAATCTAAATATTCTCCTTATTGCTTTTAAGATAAAAATGTTGTGGAGAATTTAAATTCTCCCGCAAACTCTCTTAAATTCTTTAATTTCAGTAAACGATTGCTGTAACGACTGTCTAACTCTAATTATGATTGCCAGGATCCGATGTGAGTAAGCAAGTAGCGGACTTAATATTACTAGATGACAATTTTGCTTCAATAGTGACAGGCATTGAAGAGGGTCGGCGAATATTCGACAATCTCAAGTCGAGCATCGCATATACTTTGGCGAGCAACGTGCCGGAAATAACGCCTTTTTTAGCATTCATTGTTCTCGGGATTCCTCTGCCGGTCGGTGTAATTTGTATACTATGCATCGATCTGGGAACAGACATGTGGCCAGCAATTGCTTTGGCTTACGAGAAGTCTGAATCGGATATAATGTTGAGGTATTAAATGTACAAAACATTCCTTATAGTATACAAAATCATAAAGGCTATATTATGAAAAAATATTTAATCCAATGTAAAAAAATAGCAGTCTTTACATATAAATATTTTAAAAAATCTCTCTTCGTGGGAAACAAATAAAATTCAAATAGGGTATAAAACTCTATTTTCTTATTCGATTCGATTTGGCTAAATTTTAATTAACCAAAATTTAGTTCATAAGTTTGATTATCAAGATCTAAAATGGAATATTAGATAAGCTACTAAAATATTTAAATATCTAATCTTCTCTCATTCCTATTTTTTCAACTATCTCAGAAAACCTAGAATACCTCAAAGCGATCATCTAGTTAGCCGAAAATTAATCTTCATGGCTTACGGTCAGATTGGTGTGATTGAAGCGTGCGCGGGTTTCTTCACGTATTTCGTGGTGATGGCGGAACACGGTTTTCTGCCGAAACGACTTCTGGGTTTAAGATCAATGTGGGATAGTTCGGTAGTGAATGACTTAGAAGACAGTTTTGGACAGGAATGGACCTATCAACAACGTAAGGTCCTCGAATATACCTGCCACACCGCTTTCTTTGTTAGCATCGTGATTGCTCAAGTGGCAGATGCAATGGTCTGTAAAACTCGCCGCAATTCATTATTGCGCCAAGGTATGGGTAACTGGGTCCTGAATCTGGGTCTGCTCCTTGAAATCGCCCTGGCTTGTGTAGTTTGTTACGCGCCTTACATGGACCGAATCCTAAAGACGTATCCCTTAAAGCCAGAGTGGTGGTTACTTGGTATACCGTACGCTATTATAATATTAATTTACGAAGAGTTGAGGAAATGGTGGATTAGAAGACATCCAGGTGGCTGGTGGGATAAAGAAACTTCATATTAGGTGAGATCGATGAAAGACGTCTTATAATCCCTGACGGAAAAATTTTTACGAAAAACTTCATAGATTAAGACAAGATTTTAGAAATTATTAGTTTTTCAAAGATATTCGTAGTGGAACGTAGAGTGATGTTGTTTGTTTAAAAAACCTAGAAATCCTCCACCCTTAAACAACGCCACTCTATGTCCCACTATAAATATCTATGAAAAATTAAGAATTTTTAAGATCTTTTCTCAATCTATGTATTATAATTTTTCTGTAAAAATTTTTTTCCCGCCAGGAATCTAAATAAAGATTGAAAAATCCAGTGTCATAATTAATTTGATCTTGTTAAAAATTTCAAAAAATTTAAAAATAAAATCTTGAAAAAAATAAATGAAAATGATTAAAGATATATACATTTTAACTATATTTATATTTAAACTTAACTTAGAGACCTATTTATTGAAGGATGAGAGAAATATATTCATATTGCATTCCTAAACATTGCACTAAGATGCAAAAAAAATTAGTTTCGTAAATAACGACCTTTAACGCGGGTCTCTATCCAGTCGTGACTTCTTGAAATCATACTCTGCAAATAATACTTCACCTTTCTAAATAAACTGCAAATACATTATAAACTATGTACAAAACAATTGAACAAATTGCATTATTAAGATACAAATATAAGAAAATATTTAAATATTTCCCTATATATATATATATATATTTCTATTTAGAAATGATTGAAAATACAAAAATTAATTTTATATTAATACAAATTTTATTGCTAAATACATTTTATATATTTGAAAAATATTATTTTATAAATTATTATTATTATTAATACCAATTATGGTATATTATTATTATACCATATTTATGTTTAACAAAATAAAAGTATAAATTAATAAGCACACTATACGTTAAAATTTTATTTGGATATACAGTATTATTTAAAAAATTTTTTTTAATTAATTTACGTATATTCTTCTTGATAAAACTTAATGTGAAATAATAGTTATCATTGATTAATCGATATTATCAAACCCCGAAATTTCTATGGAGCAGATATATAAAGACGAAAACTGGAAATATCAAGGGAAGAAACTGGAATTTCATATCGTTTTCTCGGAAGACTTTAGTATGCTAAAAATATCTCACAGGTAAATAAAGTTACCAGAAAAACTTGAGATTTCCGCAAGACTTTGCACTGCTTTCGTAGCACGTCCTCCGATTTTTATATCCCAGTTAATTATTATAATTTAATTTAAAATATTTAGATTTATTAAAATTTGTACTACATGTGATATACGAATCATTATATAAAATTAATAAATAATTACACCAAAACGTAATTACAAAATATATTAATTATATACAAACAAACATATATTGAAACTTACATTAAAATTACCGATGAAGATTTGGCTGATAATATTAACACTTTTTCAAAATGATTTTGATGGAACATATTATATGTTATTAATAGATACCTAAAAATTAATAAATATTCTGGTAAAAAAGTTGACAGAGAACGATAGAAAAATTCTATCATTTCGAATATGGAATTTGATTCGTAAATTCATTAATTTGAATCAGATCTTACAGGAATTTTGTACAAATCGTATAAAATCCGATAAAATACGATAGAATTCATCTGATCAATTGTGATGCTCGCGAGGTCAACGATAGAAAATGATATAAACTTATAGAAAACGATATAAATTGATAGAAATCTTATCGTTCTCAATCATTCTCTATCAACTTCTTTTTACCAGGGTATGTATATTGATGAATATTTATCAATATATAGTTAGATATATTAAAACAATGACAGTTTTATTTATGATTTCAATATAATTTGCATGCTAATGTATGCAATGTAAAATGTTTTCCAATGTACAATTTTATATCCAATTCCATACAAACAAAACATTGATGGATCTGAAAATCATATCAATCAGTGCGTGTCATTGTACTTATGTGTATATCTGTACATGTAGATGATTGTCGGTTTTCCCCCCATAGACTCTACGTGATCACCAAGTGTTGTAACTCTGGATAAAGTGGGGGCCGCATATAAGATCTCGACATTCGAAGGGGCCCAGTAGTCTCTAGTCACCAATACGACCACGTTACTACGATTGGAGCATTGTATATAGTGACGTCACTCTTTTCCTCTCTTTCTCAATCGGCGTCTTTCTCATCAGGATGAAGACGGAGATCCTTCTTCTCCTGATATGCCTCGGTGAGCTCTTAATACGATTTTATTAGTTCAAAAAACCGAGTAACTAATATGAAATCCGAAATAAATCTGAATTTTCCGATATCCTTTTAAAATTTCTTTTTCTCATGTAAAAATGTTATGATAGAATCGTATCTTTTGAAATGTATAACTGATTTAGCTTTCTTATTTGCCATTTTAATTGGATAAAAAATTTACATTTAAAAAAGTGAAAATTCTTTAATATTTGCCATATATGGAACATATATATCGAAAAATTTATCAAGTATTATATTCATAAATTTATTTATATACTTAATATAATTTTAAAGAAGATAAATGAAACAATTCAAAAGAATAAACTTGTTTTTTTCAATTAATTATAAAATTATGTACATATACAATATTATATTATACAATATTATATTATAAAATTTGAAAAATGATTGTATTTTTTATTTGTATTTTACATTACATTTGTATTTCTATTTTATTCCTTGTTTTCTATATTACTTATAATAGATAAATAAATTTAAAACAATTTAAAGCTCTTTTAATTTAAGATACATAGTTAGGAAAAAAATTCTGGAAAATTGATGCATCTATCCAAAGTTGTCTATTATTATGTTTATATCGGAGTCGAAACTACTACTAAGTGCATTTGAAAACTATTAGGCCGAATCAATTAAGTGACATTTAAGTTCTGAGTGGTCGGCCGAGTATACGTACGGCAGCTCGACCACTTTCTCACTTTCTTCGCTTGTGAGGTCGACCGGCATTTCTTCAGGGACGCAGACGATGTGCTGCCTTGAAAACATGCCGAGGGACCAGTCGACCCTCTTATCTTAACATGTTCATTCTTGTCCCCCTTCATTTTCTTTCTTGAATTCGCTTTGTTTTTTTGCTGAGCAGTTTGTGACATGAAGTAATTCAAGCAAAATTCGAAGACTTCAACTCATAAAAAGTTTAATTTAACAATAATGAGACTGAAATTTCATGTAATCTCTTAATTATTCGATATTTTTTCCCTCAAAAAATTTTTCATATATTAAGTTATAATAAAAATTAAACAAATAAACAAATAAACAAATACAAAATACATGAAATTACTGGAATACTTTATATGAGTCAGTACTAATGAAATATTGTCCGAAAATTATTAGAATTGAAAATTTAATAAGGATTTAGTAAAGAATTTAATTACAATTTTTTTTGTTCTTGTCAATATGCAATCTCTCATTTATATATTTTAATTAATACAAAAAAATTTTATCACAGGAGCTGTCACTGCTCTGACGAGGAAGCAAGAGGCCGCCGAACAAAGCCGCCGAAAGGTTGCTTCGGCAACAACGCCGAAGAAACAAGAGCCAGAAGAAGAATACGAAGATGACGAAGAACTCCTGGACCAATGTCCAGAACCCAATGGATATTTTCCAGACGCAGAACAATGCGATAAATATTACGACTGTCGAGACGGCAAAATAACGGACAAATTGTGCCCTGACGGTCTCGTTTTCAATGATTTTAGTCCGCAGCACGAGAAATGCGATTTACCATTTGGTATCGATTGTACAAAGAGACCTAAGCTACGTAAGAGAACTCCCTATTTCATTCTTCATAAATTAAATATAGTATGATTCACGAAATAGATCAAGTCGTTCCGAAAAATATTATTTAAAAAATTTTAACATATGCATCTTTTGAATGATACAAGTTTCGTAAAATTTATTTTATATAATGATCTGCTTTATAGTAAAAAAATTTTATTTTTTTCATCTGTTTCATTTAGTTATTTCATTTTTATATATTTTTCCATCTGTTTGTTATAGAAAAACCACAACCATCACCACACTGTCCTCGCATGCACGGTTATTTCGCTCATGAGGATCCCAGGAATTGTAATACCTTTTACTATTGCGTGGAGGGCAAGTTTAACATGATTACTTGCCCGGAGGGTCTGGTCTTCTCCGAAAAGACCGGCATCTGTAACTGGCCGGACGAAGCACAGAAGAAGGGCTGCGGTTCCCGCGAACTCTTCAACTTCACTTGTCCGAAGGTCAACGAGTCGGTGGCCGCGACGCATCCGCGTTATCCTGACACTGAAGATTGCCAGTACTTCTATGTATGCGTCAACGGTGAGATACCGAGGCGAAGTGGATGCAAACTCGGCCAGGCGTTCGACGAACGCAGTGGAAAGTGCGACTGGGCCAGAAAAATACCCGAATGGTACGAATTGTGCAGCAAAACTTAAGTTTCTCATAAGGGAGCATAAAAATAGGCGATTTTAAATAAATTAAAAAAATGAAAATAGGTAAAATTATGTATTATAAATAATTATCATTATTTAATGTCACGAAAATGATCTTTCTGACTTTTTTTGTAAAAATAATGTAGATTTTTTTATATAACAAATACTTTTTTTATAATTAACAAGTTTATAACATTTATATAAGAGAAATATATATTCTTTAATATTTCAAATATTTTTAATAAAAAGTACGTTTAAATAAAAAAATTAAGTTAAAATTGAGAGAAGAACTTAATCAAATATATACTATAAAGATAAAAAACGTGAATAATGAAAAATTTAGATCTACAATTTAAATTATTATACATAAAATACAAAAAAATAGAGAATTCTTTTTATAAAAAGAGGAAAAAGTTTATTTTTTTATTTACGTATTTCTATTATGTCAAATCTATTAAAAAAAGACTGTTTAATTTGAACAGTTGACGAAATTTCTTTATCGTCTCCTTTGTCATTAAATATATGTCTGAAGTGCAAATAATTTAATTATAGCAAAGACTGGTACAAGGATCAGCTGACCGACGAAGAATTAGACGCCTTGGAGAATCCACCACCCAAACCCAAACCTACTGGTGGACCAAGCAGAAGAAAGGGTAGCAGACCAACTGTATAGAGTCAAAATTTTAGATTAAACATATAGGTTTTAAGTTTTTTTATTTTTAAACCATTTTATTGTATAATAAACTTATCTTTACTACAAGCACACGCCTTTCAAAGTATATTCCGTTGCAAATCCTTTGAAGTATAATAATTTGCTTAAACAAATGATAAATTATGAATTTGGCTTTAAATAATTTAGAAAAAATAAGCTACTAATTTTTAAAGAAATTCAAAGTCGATATCCTGGCAATAAAATATAAAATATTTTTACGTTTTCATTTAATAGCATTATATTACATTACTATTATTTAATTATTAACGTCTTTGGCTTTTGACAATCATATTATTTTCATTTCTTGCAAAATGACGAAATTTTCTTAAAATCGAGAATCTAAACTCTTTCGCAATAAATTCAGATCGCGTGTTAAATTTGCGTGAGCGGTGAAAGTATTATGATATTGATTGACGCGTTCCTTGCATTTTATACATGGAAAACATTTCCAAAATCCAGCTCTAGCTGGATATAAATATATATAATAAGCGTAATACTTTCATAAGATTAAAGATCGTAAAACGAAGATCATTTTACGTAAAAGAGAGACACGTTAGAATACCAACTTCATAAAATAACAAAAATCTGTACTAATTTATAATATTAAATAAGCAATAAAAATAAATATATAATATTGTATAATAATATATAATATAATAATACATTAGCAGTAAATTAATGAATTAAAATTTATTTACTTTATTAACAAAAATGATTATCTTAAATCTCCGTGAACTTTAAATAGATGAAAACTAAATTATGTATCAAATATTACAATTTTTACTTTCCCGAAGAAAAAACATTGCAAGATGTTGTTGAAGCGTAAATGAGATCGAAATGGAAAGAGCATCATAATGAAGAAAAACTTGTAATTGATTCAATATTGTGACTGTAATGAAATATATCACTGATATATATTCCATTTCCAAAGATCATTAAATCTTATCTAAACAATTAGAAGACCCACACAGCACAGAATTTGCAGCAATATCGTTGCAAAATCTCTGTAATGTTGCTGCAACATGCAATATTGCAGCAGAGTTGCTGCAACTTTGTGATGTAGGGGTAAGTATATGTATTAGTACTTTTAATTGATATAATCAGTATCAACTCGATAAGAAATATATTTACATTTCATACTAATACTACGGTAATTCTCATTTTTTATTATATAATTTTATATCAATGAAAGAAAAAGTAAATAAAAGATTATAAAAAGATTAAGCAAACGAATAATTAAATCTGCATACATTTTTACAATATTTTATAGTCTTAAATATATTTTATACTTTATAATACTTTTTTTATATAAAAATTTATAAGATATAGTATATTGAAAAATACTTACGTACAAAATTTTATTTTTTATTAATAAAAATAAATTTTTTTTTATCCAAAATTTGAATTTTAGCTTAATAATTGACGATACAGATCTCAAGTTTGTTACTAATATTTTACTAAATAACTAAGAGAATACTATGACATTGGATAGTAACATTGTCGCAGAAATCAGTTTTTCAGAACAATCGAAGCGAGAGCGAAGGTGAATGTTAAACGACTTTTAAGAGAAGAAAGCCCAACAAAAAGCTATCATTTCCTGGCAGTCAGTGATGCGTAATTTACTATTCTTCATTTGAAATCGTTCGTTTAGAAATGCGAATAAATTTGATTCACCAAGACGTTAACGCTTTCTTAAATTTAAAAAATATTCACACTCTTTAGCTTGAATTTTCGATTTTTCTAAGCGTTATCAAATTTTCGAATATTATTTTCATGTCATACAATTTTATTTTTTATTGCATCTTCTTTTTTTAATTATATAATTCATAATTTTATATATTTCATTTCCCATATATTTCTATTTACTTAATTGTATTTCACAGCGCAATAAATTTCATCCTGCTCATCTTGAAAAATTAATTAAATCCTTTCAAATGAAGGAGACAATATAATAAAAATATTGACGAAATTTCCTGGCATTTGCTCGTCGTGGTAATTGCGAAGCAGCGCGATTGTGACGTATATTTTTCTCTTCACAGAAAAACGGAACGAAGGACATCGAAGTGAGAGCGCTGAGAAGAGAGAGAAGAGTAAAAGTTTCCTCTCTTTCTCTTTCTTTCTCTTTCTTTGTCTCTCATCTATCTTTTCGATTTTCATTCTCGACGAGTGTTCGTCGATGAAAAGTGAGCGAAAGTGGGATTTGCGTGAGGAAATAGTGGGGATCCGCAAGGTATACCCAGCCGACGAGTAACCGAAGAGCTGCAGTTTCGCGAGGGCGACCTCGGGCCATTTCAAAGGACTAAAAATTAAATAGCCTAATTTAACCGTTTCCGCCCGTTTCAGTGAACCTTAGTGCAATAGGATCATCCTGCGACGGATCATCCGACAGGAAAGCACAAATAAACCGGAAGAATGTTCATTACAACTGGAATCGTCACGCTGCTAAGCGCAATCGCGCTGACACGTAAGTATCGAGCATTCGTTTAAAAAGATCAAAAAGAAATTAGAAATGATAAAAACGTTCTAAAGAACAGATCTACAAAGAAAAGTTCTCGCATAGTTCAAAATCTTTGAAAATGCTCTCTTGGAATATTAAAATTAATTACTGCTATTCTTAAAAAATTAATTATTAAATATCAATGACATAAATATTATCATAAATTATTATTTATTATTAATAAAATTAAGAAAATTAATTATAATATAATCTCTAGACAAAGTCAAATATAAACTGGACAAAATTTTGTAAAAAGAAGCAAAGTAAAAATTTATTAATTGTGTAAAAGAAGATACTAAGTATATCTTGTAAGTGCATGCTTCGTTCTTTAAATTAACTTTACTAATTCTAGTAAGAGAAAAATAAGAATATTTTATTTATCTTATTGTTACGTAAATATTTTGCATCAAATATAAAATTAATATCATCGACATTTCAATGTTACTTTACTTTCTAATTTTAATTATGTTTATATAGTTAGACAAATATATTGATTTTTTTCTTTCAATTCGAATAACGTAGATTATATTTTTAAATCTTCAAAAATTTAAATACTTTTTGATATTCAAATGTTTGGAAAGAAAAAAGTCAATATAATTGTTAAACTGCACATATAAACATAATTAGAATTCAGATATAAAATAATATTGAAACAAACGTCGATGGTAATTTCATGACTAATATAAAATATTTATGTTATAATATATAAGGCAAATGAAATATTCTTATCTGGAATTGCAATAAGAGTAAAGAAAAAAAATGCAAACAAAGTAAGTTCAGTGGAAATATCCGTTAGAATTAACCTGGAGACAGTACGAGAGCGAACTTTCTAAATCGTAAATGTCAGTTTTCTCGTTCGGCGAGTTGCATAAGTATAGTCGTGCGCAGCCAAGACAAAATTACGTAATGAACGACGAAATAATGTCGATCCAAGAATTCGACGGCAGGTCGGACAGGTTCGATTACCTCCGTTTTTACCGGAAACGCCACATCGATTTCCGCCCGCGGTAAAACCACGGTAGTATTAGCGTCGGCAACATTACAGACGCCGCCTTCAATTGCCCGAACAAGGACGGCCAATACGAGGACAGCAGGCAATGCGACAAATATTACGAATGCACCGACGGCGTAGCAACGGAGAAGCTGTGCCCGGACGGTCTGGTATTCGATCCCTTGAATCGCAAGGTCAACAAGTGCGACCACGTATTCAACGTCGATTGCGGTGACCGTCTCGAATTACGTAAGGCAAACGATATTTCATGAAGAAGCGTTTTGAAAATCAATACATTCGTTGCTAATATCGAATAATATTTCTAATTTAATAATGTTTTCTTATATAATATCTAAAATATTATTATCTTTGTCAGAGTAATTATTAATTAAATTTTATTTGTTAAAAAAGTCTTGTAAGTCTTATAAGTCTATTTTTATCTATTTGTGCAATAAAGCGCGTTTCGTATATTTGATATGTCCAATTGAAATATAGTACCTACTCATTCGCGTTAAAATATCGAATATAATATTACGCTAATGAAGCTGCACGATTGATTGATTATCCTCGTTAATAGAACCTCCACAGCCGACGAAGAAGTGTCCGCGACGAAACGGTTTTTTCGCGCATCCCGACCCGACAGTGTGCAACGTCTTCTACAATTGCATCGACGGAGAGGCGATTGAAATCACCTGCACTACCGGGCTGCACTTTGACGAGTACAGCGGAACTTGCGTGTGGCCGGATAGCGCGGGTCGCGAGGTGAGAAAACTCTTATTCTTTAAAATTTTTAGAGTAAATTATCACTGAAAAATAAAATCTCAGTCTTACAGATTAAGCTTTTTTTTTTTTAAGATTGACTCAATTTTCACTCTTTAGAATAAAACTCTACTCCAAAAAATTTAGAGAGGACATTGGAAAAAAGTTTGATTATATTAATTAAAATTAAAAATGTATAAATTAGAAAGATGAGATAATCAAAATTCTAATAGATTCTGTTCAGAATTTTCGTTCATTTTTAATTCGAAATTTTTCTCAGGGCAGTAAGAAAATTATTTTATTTTGTCGGTTACGAATTGTTACGAATTAGAATAAGTTAATTGACGTTAAAAATTCCAAGAACAAAATCCTGACTTTTATACTGTATATGTACACGTAATCCTAGACTTGCTCCGACGGAGGTTTAGAACAATTGATTCGGAACTGTAACTAACTGTAACTAACTTCCCCGAAGTTAAATCTTTAATTGAGAGAAAGTACAAACTTCTAATACACCCCACAGCGCATGTACTTTCTCCTAATTACAATTATCCTCGGATAGGTCTCAGATATTTCCTTACAATTATAATGGGAACTTAACGATGCAATTCTGTTAGCATTTGAATTTAGGAGGCAAACAAATAGTGTTCAGAAGATGCAAGAAACGAAATCCTAATCTACTATACAATATTATATAATTTTAAGTATGGTATTAAATTTTTTAATACCATACTTAATTATGTAAAATGAAATTACGTAAAATAAAACTGGAGACTACAAATTAAAAGTTGTAAAAAAATGACATAAAAAAAATTAGAATGTCTATTAGGAAACGAGAAAGAACTTAATCTAACTTCAATCTAATTTTAATCTAACAAAGAAAGGCTAATCATAAAATTTTTCGAAAAATTGTTAAATTAAACTGAAATCAATGCTTCTTGATGCAACAACATGATAACGCAGAAATGTGCTGCATGATATAGGGTTGCGGAGTTATGGGCAAGAAGCTGCAAGATGGCTTTGAGTGCCCAACCGAGGCCCAGGTTGACAGTAGAGGCATGGTGATCGACCATCCTAAATTTGCGCATCCCGAGGACTGTCAGAAGTTTTACGTATGTCTAAACGGTGTGACGCCGCGTGAACAAGGCTGCAGCGATGGCACCGTCTACAATGAGGAGCAGCAGAGATGTGATGCACCTGAGAACGTCCGTGGATGGTACGAGTTGATTACGAACTATATTATTTCATCATTTTATTTTCATATTAACGATCTAGCAGTTAATATAATCACTAAAAGATCAAGTTAGAGTAAACATGTTGACATCATCTGAATATATTTCATACAGGTACATATATAATTCTCTCTCTGTGTGGTAGCACTCTTTCTGTGAACGTCATGATATATTAAATAAGAGAACTTCAACAATCTCACTCGGTTAATAAGCATTTTTAATATTATGTGTTCAATTTAATTAATTTTCAATTGTAAATTTCAAGATTTAAAATCTCTCGCTATTTGTATAACAAAATTATTAAGATTATTATATTCTACGTTTTTATGAAATCTTATTTTGAGTTAATTAAGTTATTGCTTAAAAGTTCGGGGAATTTAATAACTGTCGTTTACCTTGCAGCGAGGACTGGTACAAGGACGAGAAGCCGTAAGGAAGTCGTCCACGCTCATCTGTCCCGCATCGGGACGTCGCACATTCACTTTAATCACGTATCACCTCCTTCGCCGTAACTCCATGTGTGTGTTTAGCCATTTGAATGTCTTGGAATACATTTTATTTTTACTTTATTAGTCTTCAGTCAGTTAATTGAAACCTGATTTCCTTTCCCTAGTTTCCTATTAATTAAAATGCCTCGAACTAAAATTGAGATAACATTTTATTTAAAAAATCGTTAAATTAATTTATTTATGTAATAAAAAAAACTTATAATATTTAATTCGATTCGCATAATTATTCGATTATCCCAAGAAATTTTTATTATAAATTATAAATATTTTATCACGGAAATATTTAAAAATTCATTGTTAACAATATTATTTATTTCAATTCTATTAAACAAAGATACATATAGATCTGCTAAAATTATCATATTTTTTTCCTTTTTCTTTTATTTTTCAGATAAAATACAATGTGTTATGTGACAAATAAAAAGAAAAAAAGGAAGGTACTATTATTAAAATAAATTGATTGACTGTTGTATGACACTATTAATAAAATAATTTCAATTTTTCTCAAGAGAAGTTAGTGACTCAGTCGATCGATTTTTGAAATATTCAAGGAACTTGTAAAAGGCCTTGAATCATTCTCGTTATGAGATCAGTTGACTATCACTTTCTCCTGAACTGTTCTCTTAATTCTCGTTCTGCAATTCACATACGAACGAGAGATGCGCTTACTCGCTCTACTTTCCCAAATGTTTATTAACAGCAAAGTAAAAAGCTCTTATATCAAAAAAAGAAAGGAAAAAAAACCCCAAACCTTAAGATGCATAATAAAATAAATTTTAAATCCATATAAAAAGAAAAGAAATATTAAAAATAAATCATTATAACTGAGCAAAGCGTCACAGAAAAAACAATTTTATCTTTATAAGGTATTAAATTAAAGAAATACCGTTACTCTTTCTTGGCGAAAGATTAATTTATTTCTTTTGCGTGGCAGGTAAGTTGAGTTTATATGCACAGTATTCTCTCTCTTTCTCTCTCTCTCTCTCTCTCTCTCTCTCTCTCTCTCTCTCTCTCTCTCTCTCTCTTCCATTTAACTTTCCAATTCACGAGCGTCTGTCGCAAATGCCACTTGCTGAACGCTTTTTTTGAAGATTAAATCTACTCGTTCAATAAAAATTGAATTCTGCACTTTATACAATGTGAGGATATTCAGTTACTGCAATATCTTATCATTTGCAAATATGATTTTATTTGAAAATAACACAAGAATTTTTTAACAGTATATTAATACTATTACAAAATTAAATTGCGTTTTACAAGTCTCTCATTTATATAACATTTATATGCATTTCAATTATTTTTATTTTTAAAGATCATACTTCTTTTGTAAAATTATGAAATTATTAATGCAATTGATACATTAAATAGATAGTTTTTGCATCTACAAGATCATTACTTTTGTTTTCTTCACAATAATGCACAGCTATAAAAAGATAGTTTTAGATAACTAATTGATGTATAAGTGCTCTGTTAATTTGTTCAATTAACTGCTCTGTTAAATAAACAAATAGATAATTGCCTCTCCACAAAACCCACGAAATAATTTCTCTCGTTCCGCTTTCAAAAATATCTCGAACTAATAAAATTAATCGGATACTTAAAGTAAACGTAACACGGTAGCCGCGTTTGCAATGCGAATTCCAAGCGTGAAGCGAGGGATGCAAATCGCGAAATGGTAGCACAACAGCAACGACCCGGTCTCGCCGTCAGTACCCGGAAATGTCCGGAATTTATATGCACCGATAATAACGCAATGCAATAAAACTTGCGTCTATGCATCCAATAGAATGCACGTGACGGGAGAAAAAGGAACAGTGAGATCATTGCTCGATCAGAAAGAAAGAAAGAAAGAGAGAGACAGACAGGACTTTCGGCGAAAGGGGGGCGAAGTCGGGAGGAGGGAGGGTCGGGAAATGTGCAACAGTAAGGACCCACCAAGGTGGTGGCGAGACTGTCGAGCGAAACAGAACCCGTTTCGGACCCGCAGTCACGTTTTATCAGCGTCGCGACGCACTGCAGACGAAGTTAAAGAAAAGGACGAGGAAGTTAAAGAAGAAGAGAAAGGGAAGAAAGGGGGAAGGAGAGAGAGAGAGAGCCTCCTTAGAACAGTAGCTTCAAGACGGAGATCTCAAAGACTTCACGAATCTCTTTAGGACTTTCTTCAGGATGTTGGAAGTGGGAAAGCACGTGCTTCTTCGTGGTCTTCTGCCACTGGTGATTCTGGCCACCTTGAGTGGGGCTCAGTTCCGGTGTCCGGAGCCTAAGGGTTTCTTCCCTGATCCCGAACAGTGCGATCTTTATTACGCCTGCGTGGATGGTCAGCCTGAGGAGAAACTCTGCAAGGATGGACTCGTTTTCAGGGATGACAATCCCAAGAAGGAACTCTGCGATATACCGGCGAATGTACCTTGCGGTGACCGCACAGTTTTACGTAAGTTCCGAATTATTAAAATCCTCTAAATTTATTAAAATCCCCCTCTTAATTATTACAATTAGATTCATCTAGATTATTACAATTATCATGAATTAAAAAAAAATTGTAGTCTCTTGAGATTTTGCTCTTCAGATTAGAAATTAATTCTTTGAATTATTATATGCCAATCTCAATAATTTCATCTCAATCATACATAAAAATGTGATTTGCTATTTACAGAAAAATATCTTTATTGTTATCTATATCATTCAATTCATTCAATTTTATATTTATATGCTATTTTAAAATTGAAACATTTTTTGTTCAAAAAGGAAATTCTTTCCAATAATAGATATTTAAATAAAGGAATTATATTATATGAGAATTCTTTTATACTTCATGCATATTCCCTTCAACAGCTCGACAAACTAGAAGAATGGCAGATTAAGCAGCGTCGCAAAAATAAAAGTTGATATGAACCGGTTTTTAGACGAATGGACAATCAAATTCTGTCTCGGTCTTTTTTACGTTTTCTCATAAGTAATAATATAACATGATCTCATACAGGAAAAATTTTAATTAATTAAAGTTTAACAAAAATCTATTAAAAAATAAAATAAAACACAAGATAAATTTAATAAAATTACAATCAAATTTATATTACAAATATTTTGTATAATTTTTTAAATCTTTGCTTTATAGAAATCGATATCTTATTAAACATTAATCATTCTAATGATTAATCGCTAAAATTAAAAAAATATATTTTATTTGTAATTGTAAATTTCAAGACAAATCTCGACAGAAATATATTCCACTATTTTATCACAATTATAAAATAATTAATATATAACATAAGAGATATAACTAATACAAAACTTAAATAATTATATATGCACTAGTATTATATGTATAACAATATATTATATAATTGAACAGAGGAGCCGCAACCAAGCAAGGGCTGCCCACGAGCAAATGGCATTTTTAGCCACGAGGACCCGACTGCGTGTGACCGTTTTGTCAATTGCATCGATGGAGTAGTGCAAGTAGTGCCCTGTCCGCCCGGACTAATCTATGAACCCAAGATGTCGAGTTGTGTCTGGCCGGCAGACGCTACTCGTCTATGTGAGAACGCAAAACGCGATGTCCTGGACGATGGCTTTGTATGCCCTGACGGCGACGTCGCCGGTCCGTCCGGCAGAATCTTGCCGCATCCCACGTATCCGCATCCCGAGGATTGCGCCAAGTTCTACATCTGCAAGAACGGTGTGGTACCGCAAAAGGGCCAATGCGAGCCGGGCACCGTGTACAACGAGGACAGCTTCAGGTGCACGGAACCAGAATCCGTGCAGGGATGGTGAGTTTTTTCTTTTCTTTTATTTTTATATTCTTTACATTATTTATATTAAAGAAATTCTTTACATTATTTATAAGAGAATCTGTTATAAAAAATACACAAATTATGAGTTACTCTGTAATATAAAGAATATAAAATATACTAATAACTAATAATTTGTGTATTTTTTATAACAGATTCTCTTATAAATTTTAAGGTCAATTTTTCAGTTATTGCTTGTTCTTAATTCTTTGTCAATTATAAATGTCGATTATAATTGCTTGCTAACTTCTCTGTTTGTTTTTAATATTCTTCTCTAAATTTCAAAATTAGGTTTACTTTGAAAAATATGTCAAACTGCTCTTTATAACAAAATGCAATGTTTCAGCGAGGACTATTACAAACGTAAAAATTGAGTTGGAGAAGCGAAGGTGCCGCAGTTAACCGCAACGTGTGTAATGCTCATCTTTTTACCCATAGGAACAATAAATGCATGTGATATGCTTACGTAAACGTCACTGCATGATCTTTGCGAGAGTGATCGCGCTTTCGCCCTCCCCGCGACAAATCACTACCCCCTTTCTCCTTTTACATAAACAAATTTGCATTCGGAAAATCCGTAATAAAGCCGTTGTCGGTTGCGGATCATTAATCCGCGTTCGCGAAAGAAAACCCCACAGACTGACGATATCAAGTTCTATATAATATCTGTTAGATAAATCCTCCGCTCAAACCGGTTCGATTTTATATAATTATCGATTATGTCGAAATTTTATTGTAAAAGCACATGAACGCAAAACAGTTGGCCGTAATTTAATTCCGCAATTAAATAACTTTGAAGAAATGAAATTTATTTATTATATTCTAATGGGGAAATAAGTCTTTCACTTTGAAAATGTTTTCTTTTACTAACATTACTTTTAATAAATGTTAATAAAAGAATTACATATTATTACTTAATAATTATGTATATTTTACATAGAGTATGACCAGAAATTTGTTTACAAATTCTTTCAATTCTGAAATCAACAAATCTTAAAGATTTATTTTAGAGATTTTTATAAAGTTAGTTAAAACTTTTTAATTGATTATTAACTGTTTTTATATTAAAATAAAAATTTACTTAACATAATAATGTATTGTTTAAACATAAAATTCGATATTTATTTTCGTTCCTCTAATTATACATATAATAGTAATAAAAATAAAACTTAAATTTGTCTAGTTCCTAAAAATAAAAGTAATAAAAAAAAGCCAATATTTGTGTTAAAATAATATTTAATGGAGTTTCATCTTTTCATTTTATCAAAAGTATTAAAAATGTTTATGTGAATTTTATATATAAGAATTATACAAGATAAAAGAGTAATGAAATAATCAAACATTGTAAAACATTTGATCTTACTACAAAAATTACAAAAATGATAATATTAAATACTTCTCTTAAATCCTGAAAAATATTCTTGACAAAAATAATTTAATTATTTAAGTTAAAGATGCGAAAAGATTTAGAGTTTTTTCCTAAAATAGTTTTTAATAAAATATAATGTATTATTATTATCAGAAAAATATTAAGAATATAACATAAATAAGGTTCTTGTTAATAGATTAGGAATTACTATTATTAAATATAAAGAACATCGTTTAGTTTTTAAATCTGTTTCAATTGAAAAAAAAAAGAGTTTAAGTTATAATTCAAAAATTCAAAAATTACTTTAATAAAGTATAATAATTATCGAATTTGATTCGATAATTGATATAATACATTCAATATTAACTAGTATAGTGTAAGTCAAATCATTAATATTTATCGTGTGTTACAATGAGCATGACTTTCTCTGACACGAAAGATTGCACGTCGAAAACCTCCTCACCCCACAATACTCCAGAATACATCGCAAAATATACTCGCAAAATCACTTCTTCGAACGTATCCTGGATTTCACTCCGGCGAATCAAATGTCAGTATGAGAATTAATTAACCCATTCGTCATAAGATTACATTGCAACATCTGACGTTATAGATGTTATGCCTGTAACTACATTTACTTTTGAGAACTTTTGGCACATTAATAAAAGCATAGCCAAATGAATTGTAACAAATTACGAAATAATGATATTTTTGTAGTTCATTTTGTATTTGCTTCACAATTTTCGTTGTACTGAAATATTAAAAATTCGTTTAATACTTCTTATATTTTATATACTTTTGAATATTGAAAAACTACTTATAAGAAAAACTTAACGATTTGGCGAGATTTACGGTGCACAATAAACAACATGCCACGAGCGAGTTTTCCGAGCTAACAATTTCTCTTCATTTGCCTGATAGCAACCTTTCTCTTTACATAATTCGTGAAGCGCTCGACGAAATATACAATATCACAATTTACATTTTGCTTACAATGCAAAAAATTCGATCAGAATAAATTTTCCGTTCCTAGTACATTTATAAAATAAAAGTTAAAAAATAGAACACGATATAAAAATATACTACTGTAAAAAATAGAACATGATATAATGTTCTATATGTTCTATATTCAATGTAAATACTTTCTTAAATAAGATAAAATATGTATTTTCTTTTCCTTAAATATTTATCTATTATTTTATTATCAATATCAATAGAACGAAGCACAGGATACCACACAATTTCTTTACTAAACAAGATATGTATATTATTTTTCTTATGTTTAGTCTAGTTATTTGTTATGTCTAGTATTATATTTTAGAAACAATTGGTTCATAGAAAGTCTAAATTAATTAACTGACCGTCATCATGACGGTTTTCAATTCGAACGTCTGATCGATCTGTCGACTTGTCTGGCTCGCCTCGGCTGCTTTCACTATCCGGCAATCGGGTCTCTCCTCCTTGGGACCAGTGTGATGGGTCTTGCGTAAGGCTGGCTAAGACTCCAGAGGCCTCGCCGACATGCACGTATATTCGCACCATGTTAATATATCGAGAACACATCTATCTGAGTGCACGTTTTAGTTATTACACGCGTTCGTCAATTATAATTCATTTAGTTGGAGTATATTACATCGTGATTGATGATGTCACAGAAGGAAGAGCGCCTTGACATTAACTGTTAACGTGTCCTTGCTGTTACCATATTCCACTTTCTCCGGAAAACTCGATTTTCTTTTACCGAAAAAACGCGCTTTTTCGACAAGTTAAAATTTGTAAGAGATTGCATGTATATAAGAGATTGAGTCGTATATATATAATTAATAACTATAAATTTAAGAATTCGAGAAGTAGATATTTTCTATATAATTATATAATTATATTATTATAAAATATTTATTATTTAATCCCTAAAAAAATGACTGTTCAAGATGAGTTTAATTCACTTGAATAAAAATTATTAAAACCATTAAAATCATAATTTCTTAATTAGAGAGAGCTCCTTTGATTAATAGCGATATCTTTCAAGTACATCTATAAACACATTGCAATCGTTCGAACTGTTATTTATGCGAAGCATCGAATGATACAATAATGTTCCCATTTACATCGCCGTTCACCGAAAGCGCATAAGTACTGTGCGGCATTAAGCATGCGGAAAAATAACGATCGTGCTTGTGCAACATAGTTCAGTACAGAGTATTTGCGTCGAGGACGTTGCATCCTTAGGCATTTCGAGAGGTGCAGGAAGACTGTACTTTGGCATTAAATCTAACGTCATCTTTTCACACGCGATGCATTCTCTCGCGATTTATCGCGATGCCGTGAGAGATTACAATGATTAGAAAAATGATGATCGCGAATCGCTCCTCTACAGTCAAGAAATATTCTTCGTTTCTTCATACAAATGATTATGTAAGACGTACAGAGAGTGTTAAACGGCTTAAAAATAGATTTCTCGACAGATTTTCTGATGATTGTTGCAAATGTGCCTATTATTATTGCTATATCGTTTAGAATTAATTAACTTATCAATATTCAATTACAATATTCAGCTTTTTTTCCTTATAGATTTGCGTCTTTATATCAGCAAGTGCTGGCTTTTGTTTTTTAAATTTAAATTTTTAAAAATTAAATTAATTCATAAAATAATAATTTATTTTATGTCTCATCGTCACAAAAAAGAAATCCAAAGAATATTCAGCCATTATCTTTGGATCTCGGCAGAACCATTCTTTTCTCATTAGCTTCTAATTCGCGACACTTTTGCAGGATTTATTAGCTGATACATGTTTTGTACATATTGTAATTCTCTCTCCAAATCAATATATCTCACGACACTGAAGGATCCAAACGTGGCACCCGGACAATTCATCACGCTCGGCGCTGCTGATCGGCAGCCCGAGCACGTAGGCAAAACCAACAGCGATCAAGGGGGATCCTGGTGGGGTTTAGTAAAGCCACGGTGAAGGGAGTGAAGGGAGTAGACGGGACCGTTCGGAGGTGTACCGAGGCCGACACCTAAAGTGCGCGCCAATCGTCAACTTCGCCGTCAGAGACAGTAGTCAAGCCGAACTGAGTGCCGGAAAGATGAGCTATTCGAGGAGCGTGACCCTGCTGTTGCTCCTGGCAATCCTGGCACGTGGTAAGTCCACCACCACCGCCACCGCCGCAACCATCATAATCCGCGAGATAGTTACCTTCACCTCGCCTACGCGCAACCCTATACCTCGCATCATGTGTGCATCTTCACCTCGGAATGCGCTTCTCGTCTTCTCCTGTGTACCGAGGACTGCCTCTTCGCAGGCGTAAATACTTTCTTCTTCTCCATGGACTCCTGACAGGTTGCGACATCACCTTCTGCGAGGCTTTCACCGACGAGACCACCATATGTTAAGATCTGCGTGTATGACATAACGACGGACATTCCGAGGTGATCGATGAAAAATGTAACGAAGCGATTTACGATGTAAATGAATTGTGGAACAGGATGATTTTTCGATATTTTTTTAATAACAAATTTTACTTTTCAAAAAAATTGCGCTTAACATTTTCATAATCTTTTAATAATTGTTGTAATGTTTTGATTTATGTTTTGAAATGATTCATTTTTTAATATGTAACATGTATCATTATATATTTACAATTTTTTATTTTGTGCATTTTTTTATACTGCAAGGTTTTCTTCAAAAATAATTTACCGAGTATTTACTTTTTTTTTAGTCTCGAGTCTCCATTTCAAGAAAAAAAATTTTAATATTTTATAAATTGTTTGTGCTTGTTGTGTCTTTTTCTATAATACATTTCTATACGTATAAGAAAATAATCATTATGCCCGTCACAGACCCGTTGTCGCAGCGTACGTTTGCGGAAAAGTTCAGGATAACTGACATTCGCGAAGCTGTCATGCGAATCAAATCTTTTCGAGTCAATCAAACTTAACCGATAAAGTTTTTCATATTTTTGTTTTTGTTTATTCGAACAAGACAATACGTTGCAAAATGTTTCACTTTTAGAAAAAATAAACTAGATCAAATATATACTTTTAGACTTTACACACATATTTTTTCCACATAATTATGATACAACGTTTTGACTTTGTTCTCCATATATTATATATTTATACATTTGCAGTATAATGACTAATATCAAATAATTAATATTAAATATTTATATATAATATATGTAATGTATAATATTAATATAAAAATCATAAATTATATAACTCACAATAGTAATATAATCCATTATAATACGTATGTTACATAGAGAGTGAATTGTATGCATTTTGAATAATATTTTAGCATAAAAAATATTATAACATTAATAATAATATTTAAATTGCATCTTAAAGAATAAAGATTAGATATTATATATTATTATTAATAAAGAATGATTTTTTTTTGTCATGTAAACTCTCATTTCACAGCCCAAGGTGCCACCCTATTACACGATG